AGGCTCCATGCACCGGGAGCCCGACGTGGGATTTGATCCCGGGTCTCCAGGATCACGCCCTGGGCCAAAGGCAGGCGCTAAACCACTGCACCACCCAGGGATCCCGATATTTGGGGTTTTAGATACAGTTTTCGAAAACAGAATCTGTAATTTTCAGTTTTTGACAAACATAGAATTCTTATTCCTCTTACTGAATCACATAAAATTTGCATTTTTGTAAGACTGGAAAATGGTTGAATAATAGTATTTCACATCGCTCAATTTAAAATATGCTACATAGGATTTGTAAAGCTAGAAATCCTTGTCTCAACAATTTTATAATCTAATTCAGGGGCAGAGTTTGTAAATAATTCACTTTAATAGGTGCAAGGCAAAAGGTATCTTCAGGCTCCATTGTTCTATTCAGAAGGAAGGAGGAATCCTGAAGGGGAAGCTGGGAACACTTCTACCGGAGATGGCATTTAAAAGGGTCCTTCAGATATAAGAATAATTTCATAGGTGGAAAGTAACTGTGCTTACTAAATGCAGAATAACCTATTCTTTCATTTTCAATGAGACAACTCGGCCAAAATAAAACTTCCATAATATCAACATTTACCACAAAACCTTGGACTCAATGAGAATATTGCTGGTTTATTTTTTTCCTAATTTCTAAACCACACATCTCGTAACTTTGTATTTCTCTATGTTGCAGCTTTTACCATTTAAAGTAAGTATGATGATGAGATATCACCATCACAGACTTCAATCATTCAACTAGGTCACCAGGTGATTTCTTTCATCTGAGGTGGCTATGGACTCCGATGAAATATGCTAATACATGATTCATATACTATAAAAGCCTAATGTTACAGACATATTATTCAAATGAATAGCATGTAAGACTAAATTCATAATATAAGGACAAAATAAAGTATCACAAAAATTGGAGAGAATTTATTACCATTTAAAATATTAATTTAGTAAAAAAATTAAAAATTTAACAAAATAAAATAAAATATGACTTTGTTTCATTTTTTGTTAGTCAGGAATCCCCGAGACATAAACAGAGATAGAGGCACGTCTCAGTGTCAGCAAGGTACTGGTGAGCATGTCTATCTAGTCAAATAGAGATCTCGGCCAGTGTTACATTCTCCCACCACAGCCTCTTACTTTATGGCTAACTCTCTTACTGCCTTGATACTTGTTTTTATGTCAATTAGACTTCCAAGGTCTTGGCCTGGTTTTATTCTCCCGGTTTATGACCCTCCTGGTGTCAATTTCTTTCCAGCTGTATGTCCTGGTGAGGTACTTCACTATCTCATTCACTGACATCCTCAATCTCAGTGTCCTTTCATTGCAACAAATTACAAAACCCCTGACCACATAGCCAGAATTCTGAGCCCTGCAGGAAGTAGGTATGTGCACAATTTTAGCCAAGACTGAGGCTTCAGTGCTCCTAGAAGTTTAAATATATATTTTTACAGAAATGTGTAGGATCATGGGTGAGAGAAGACTGTTATATATATAAGATATATATATATATATATATATATATATATATATATATATATATATATAAAACAAAAAACAAGAAACAAAAAACAAAACAAAACATGTACTGGAACAAATTAACTATCCACTGTCTGTCAAGGACTTGATTTTCATCAATTCCTAGTGAGTCCAGAAGAATCCAGCATGAATACCAAACATGCGGTTATTAAATTACATGAAAAATAAACCAAACGAACTCATATTTTTGTTCTAGTTCATTATCTTCCAGTAGATTACTGTTCACGCGAAGTCAAATATCACCTAATTGTGATTTGGTAAAAACAAAATCAGAATAAGGAGAATTAATCGTGTGGTTTTATATTAAATAGCCCAGCTTATGAGAAGCCATACATATCGATCTCTAAGTATTGAGGGATATGATAAGGGAAATAAAAATATCAAATGTGGGCCAGGGTACTCTTGTTTCCAAAAGATTAAAAAAAATAAAAAATATATTTTTAGATTTATTTGAGAGAAAGAACACCTGAGTGCCTCCAGATAAATGGAAGACGGAGAAGGAGAGGGAGAGAGAAATCCAAGAAGATTTCTGGTTGAGCACAGAGCCCACCAACATGGTGTTCCATCTCAGGACGCTGAGATCATGACCTGAGCCAAAATCAGGAGTCCGTCTAACTGACTGCACCACCTAGGTGCCCCTAATAGATTATCCAAAGGGGGCTGCCAACCTGCAAGCTACCCTCTACTCCTTCTTAAATGTATTTTACTTATGAACACTTTAAAATTCTATGCCAATATTCCTGCTGTTTACAGTGTAATACAAAAACATGGTATCAAATTATTTTTTTTAAAGATTTTATTTATTTATTCATGAGAGACACAGAGAGAGAGGCACAGAGACAGGCAGAGGGAGAAGCAGGCTCCATGCAGGGAGTCCGACATGGGACTCAATCCCAGGTCTCCAGGATCACACCCTGGGCCAAAGTTGGCACTAAACCGCTGAGCCACCCGGGCTTCCCTCAAAGTATTTTTTTGAATTTAACTTACTATCCTTTGAATTTTAGGCATTGCTCAGAGAATAGTAATTCCACATTTTTATTTCCACATAATTTGTTGATTAATGTGGTATTTTAATGATTAAATTTAATTCATTTTACCAGTAATTTTATGGGGATTGTAAGTGGCTCTCTATTCATCAGATTTGCTTTATTTTTACTGTACTATTTATCAAGAAGAGATACCATTTTTGAACACTTGGGGAATTTCAAATTTTCATAGTCAGATGATGAATGTCATTCTCTTTTTTGGTCTCTATTCAGTTATTTTTTATTGTAGTAAGAATACTTAACATGAGATCCAATGTATTTTTTAGATTGTTATTATAGGCAATATATGTGAAGTGCTATTCCACTGCATTTCCCTCATCATAGTGATATTGAGCATCTTTTCATATACCTGTTTTCCATTGGCTTATATTCTTTAGAGTATATTCAGGTTTTTAATCAAGTTCTTTTTGTTGTTGTTGTTGCTATTGAAGTGTAGGAGTTCCTTAAATATTTTGGATATTAATCCCTTATCAGAGAAATGGTTTGCAAATGTTTTCTCCCATTTTGTAGGTTGCCTTCACTGTTGATTGTATCCTTTACTTGCATATTTCCTATTCCCTTGACTTTTTTGTTTTTTGGGTTTTTGTGTATGTGTGTTTTAGTTTTTTTTTTTTTTTTGCAAAAGTTAAGTAGACTCAATTAGGTAATAGCTATGGTCTTGTTCTTTTTATTTTTCAGAAAAAAATTGTCTTTTGTGTATATTGAAATTTATCCAACCTGATTTAATGGTTAATTTGTTTTTTTTCTCTAATTGAGACAAAATTCACATAATTTCACTACTTACCATACTGACGTGTACAACTTAGTGGTTTTTAGTATGTTCACAATCTTGTGAAACCATTACGACTATCTAATTCCAGAACATGTCTATCTTCCCCCTGCTAAAATCTTGTACCTGTTGGCAGTCAATCCCAATTCTCTCTTCCCATATCCTATGGCAAAAGTAAAAGATTTTTTATTTTAAATCACTGAGTTTGGGAGAGTTTGTAATATAACATTATTGCAGATAAGCTGACTTAACCACAGGTCTATAATTACAATTATGTAATGTATTTATGTTTTGTTTAAATCTATTTATCATTATGATCTTTTTCCATAAACTATTCTCCTTTTATTTTTTCATATTTTTATTTATTTACTCATGAGAGACACAGAGAAAGAAAGAGGCAGAGACATAGGCAGAGGGAGAAGCAGGCTCCAGGCAGGAAGCCCCATGCGAGACTCGATCCTGGGACTCCGGGATCACGCCCTGAGCCAAAGGCAGGCACTCAACCGCTGAGCCACCCAGGCGTCCCTAGTCTTCCTTTTATATTTCTTATCTTGGTTAAGTAATTTTGTATTATCACCGATGCATTAAAACTTCTTGATGTGCCACGAATGACTTTTGCTAATATAGCCCAAAAAATTTTTCTGGCTTTATATATCATAGTATTTCCACTGTCTCCTCACATACATAGGCTATATGCCAACCACATTGTACTTCTTCCTTTTCTCTCAATGAGCCAGTCATTTAAAAAAAAATTAGATTAGAATTTGAAAAGCAATTCATTATTTTATTATACAAAATATTGTATAATAAAAGCATTTTCTAGTAACATTTTGACAAATACATTAAATCCTAGAAATATGCCAACAATTTCCTTGCCACTGGTCAGCAAAAAGCAAATCCACGATTCTTATCCACAGATTCCAGTGGCAAAAGCTATGATTCACTTGTGGTGGTTTAGGTGACCATAGATATCCTAGAAATAGTTTTTAATAAATTCTACATACCTTTTGTGCCTTGGTGAAATGTTGTTTACTTCCTTAGCAGCCTGGAACATTTTTACTTACCCTTCAAGATTGGTCCAAATGACTTTTCTTGTGACATCACTTCTGTTTTCCTGATAGTGTTAGCCCATCACTCTCCCTGCTTCTCACAGCACTATTGTAATATCTATCACATTATACAGGGTTTTTTGTTTGTTTCTTTTTGTTTTTGTTTTTTTTCTTTCATGTCTTTTTCCCAAGTAGCCCCTCATTACTTAAGGACATTGATTTCACGTTAATGATCTTTGAATTCCTAGCCCCTAGCATAGTGACTGCTGGGACCAGGGTGCTGAATAGATGCTTGTAGCAGCCATGATGCTTCCCTCCCATTCCACACACATGCACCCATCATTTCTGAGCTTTGTTTTCCTGATTCATAAATCTTTCAGAGATTACATTGGCCTGGAGAAAAAATATCCAATCTATCATTGCTATAGTGGCAAATGACACCAAATGGCATGTCTGTTGCAGATTGCTACATGTGAAAACACTCTCAGCCCAATGTATCTGGATTCCCAGAAAGGCAACGGAAGCAGATATGTCACAAAAGTATGCAGCATCCCATACAAGACTTCAATTCCAAATGGAAAAAAAGAAGTCCTACAGCCACCACAATCTAAAATGGAAGTCAACGCATGGGAAATAAAGCCTCCTGATTTCAGTTATAAACTGTATAAATCTTTGAGATTTCCAGAAAAATCATCAAGGACTAGTAAGGAAGAACAAGGGAGGGGGAAAAAAAGTAATTTTCCAGAAACAATGCTTCACCTGCCCAACATAAGGAATCATTCCAAGAAGGTCAAATCCCCTCCTTTTATAACTACATTCCCACATCTGGATTCACATAAAGCAAAGTTAATGTTTGTGAAGAGTGGAAAATATCCAAATGGTGTATACCTCAATCCAAAACCACATGATTTTCGACAGGTACAGAAGTGTGTTTGACTCAAAATAACATAAAACAGATAAGGAAAATATATATTATTTTTATTCATTTCTTAAGTGTGACTATTACATGGGCAAAAAAGGTATGTGCATATAATATTATAAATCTACATCTTTATTTCCGATGGAACAGTATAGTTCAGATTTAGCAACAAATGACAGAGGAGAGAGATAAGATCTTGGTTGATGTTTCAGCTGATGTTGATGATACAGTTTTCTCTGCCAGGTGGAATGAATGACTCTGGGACTTTCTTAGTTTTTAGAACAGTTGGAACTTACATATGACTGGGAAACAGACTTCAATTGCCAGTTTACAATCTAAAAAGTAATAAAATCAATTCATAGAATGAACAGATAAATAAATAAATAAAAATTCATTATTTTTATTGACAAAGGGGGCATTATATTACTTTAACGAGTCTTTCTAATGATTAATAATTTAAACAATATGTGAGCAAGAATTAGATTTATAATTTATTTTTTTTAATTTTTTTATTTATTTATGATAGTCACAGAGAGAGAGAGAGAGGCAGAGACACAGGCAGAGGGAGAAGCAGGCTCCATGCACCAGAAGCCCGACGTGGGATTCGATCCCGGGTCTCCAGGATCGCGCCCTGGGCCAAAGGCAGGCGCCAAACCACTGCGCCACCCAGGGATCCCCTAGATTTATAATTTAAAATAGTGGTGAGGAGTATATATTTAAGGAAATGCAAATGAGGTCAAAATATAATTCCTATAGAAAATGAATATATCCTCTACTTAGGCCTATAATTTAATGCATAAATAGACTCTTGCTCAGTAATGAGGAAAGCAATAGGACTGATAATACAAAAAAAAAAAGCTATAAAAAGAATAAATTTTTTCTTGGAAAATATAAGAAAGCAGTTAGGAATGTGGCCTCTGGGATTAGATTATCTCTCCTTGCCCTTTTATTTCTAATAATTTTGGACAAATTATTAAGTCTCTTATTTATAACATGAAATAACACTACTTCATATTTAATATGGTTCTTTTAACTAATGAAGGAGATGATTATTTACAAAGTACTTACAACAGGATCTGGAATACTGAGGTATTCAATGAGTGTTAACTCTGAGGAGGTCTTAGGATAAAAGCTACAAAATTCAAGAAGCCTTGATCCATAAACTTCTTTACTCATTTAGGGCATCCAAACTCTTCTATTTTCAGTAAATGAAATATATTACCTTTTGGAGACAAGAGGAAGTCAATTAAATAGCATATGTCATTGGTTTATTCAAGAATTTCTCTAGTTACAGTTATAATTACAAAACTTAAGTGAGTAAAGTTCAAGGAATGGGGGATATTTTAATTTTAGCTGAATTAATTTGTGTTTATGAGAAAGTGTATTGGAGACAGTGCAATATAAATTGTGCAACCACCAGATGTCAGTATAATTTTTTAAATGAACGGGGCTCTACATTTTATTTGATTAAAGAGTGATAAATCTTGTGTTGGAGTTTCCTTTGGGACTTTTAATATTTTGCTGTTTGCTTCAGCAGGATTTAGAATCACTCACAAAGAAGAGGACTGTCTAACCTCTGCCTGAGTTCATCCTTTCGTGCCACATTGATTCAGCTTTCAAGCAGAAACATTTGTGATTTTTTAAGATTAGTTTCTGGAAGTGTACAAATTCTATTTCAGTTCATATAAATTAGTTCATTTAAGTCATTTAGGGATGCCTGGGTGGCTCAGCGGTTGAGCATCTGCCTTTGGCTCAGGACTCCGGGGATCGAGTTCCGCATCAGGCTCCCTGCATGGAGTGTGTCTCTGCCTCTCTCTCTGGCTCTCTCACTATTAATAAATAAAATCTTTTAAAAAAAATTTAAGCCATCTAAAAAAAGCACTTTGTGGTATAGCTTACTGAAAACAGTCAATAATTATTCTATGCCAGTCTCAGTAAGTTATTTTAGCTTTGCTAAATATTTTTATGTCCTTGAAATAAACTCAGCTCCAGAAACATAACATGTAACCCTATTTCATTTGAAAATAAATGCAAATTTTGAATGGATTCTTTTAGTTTCATGCTGTTAAAAATATTATGTCATTTATTCACACTAGGATATTTGAAGTACTCTATTCCACTATAAAATGAATTGGTTATACAATAAGTATCTTGAATTAGATTATTCTTTCAAATTTTCATTTGCAAGTTGTAAATGCTATAACAAAATCATCACAATTGCATTTTGCCAGTGAAATAAACAATACTTGTAAAAATCAAATACAATGTCAGTAGTAAACAATACTTATTAGTAATAGTAAAATCTTCTCTTTACATATCTAGTACCAACGTAATTTACCAAACTTCGTGACAGCTTGTGAAAGGGATCCTTTTGGATTAAAATTTAAGTCCAAACACTTAAGTACAGGTAAGTCATTATAAAGTTATGAATATAACAAACAAAAAATAAACTTTCTGCATTATCTTAATAGTAATACTTAGGATTAGCTCAGTCAGTTGGGCCTCACACTCTTGATTTCAGCTCATGTCATGATCTCAGGGTTGTGGAATAGAGCCCCATGTTGGGCTCTGTGCTCAGTGCAGAGTCTGCATGAGATTCTCTTTTCTTCTCTCTCTGTCCCTCCCTTCACTTGTGCTTTCTCTCTAAATAAATAAATAAATAAATAAATAATAAATAATCTTTAAAAAAACAGTGATACTTGTAAAAACAAACAACTAAAATGATTTTTTAAACTTATCATCTTTACTAATATGGTAAATTTTTTAAATGCCCAGTTAATTAATGGGAACAATCCACTTGCTTCATTATCTACAATTTTAAATATATTATTGGAGATTGAGTTTTTAACTCAAAGTGTTCTGTATAGAAAATCAATAGAATAAATGCTTAAGAGTATAGACCAGGAAGCAAACTGTCCCAAATTACCTAAACTATCTCTTGGTCTATCCATCTGTAGGTGGGAATGATAATAATTGAATATATATCATAGAATTATTGTGAGCATTAAATACATTATACATATGTAGATCACTTTGTTAATAATGTATATATAGCACATGTTACCTGGTACGTGGAAATACACACACACACACACAATTATTATCATGGTGCTATTTGAACAGTGTTTGTCCAGGGTTAACTGAGTTATCTAGCATTCCTTATTTTGACAAGGATGATAATACATGCATACATGCATTCTATATTTACATATTCTAATTTTATATTAATTATAAACAAAAAAATAAGATATTAATAGTGATTGTCCCTGAGTAATAGGGTAATGGTTGAATTTTACTTTCTTCTTTTAAAAATGACAATCAAGTAGTTTTATAATTACAAAATTAAATTAATTTATTTGTAAGTAATATACACATTTTAGCACGGGTCATATTGACAAAAATCTTGTCTATGTGTGTAATTAAAATGGGACATGTCAACTTTTCTTATGTGTACTATGTGTAAGTAACTGTGGAAAAAAATATCATGGATACTTTATAAGATCCAGTCTCCGATCTCAAGAAATGTGTAAGTAAAATTTAAGGTAGAAGGCAAAATATGTCAGTCAAGTCACAAAATACTACTGAGAAGTTTAAAAAGAAATTTCCAGGGAAATAAAAGGTAAGATTTGAATTGAAGTTTGAAGGTTGACATTAATTCCAGTAGAAATGGTGGGCAAGATAAGGAAAATTTTATTTGGATTTGCATTATAAATTGTCATCAATTTATCTATCTTGGGCCCTGATCCCCAAGTATATTCTGAGAAATATCATGAATAAAGACCCATATAATTTCTAAGTTTCTCATTTGTCTCTATATCTGTAGTACATGGGCACCACTCACCAAAAGATGATAAACAGAAGAACAGTACAGAAAAATTCATCACCTACAAGCCTCATGAATGCACCTGGGATTCAAAGCTAATTTTACTAAAAGCCCCGTGGCCTGTTAAATCCGCTTCATACACGGTAAGCTTGACTTTCTCTTCCTCAGCTGTCGGGAAATGTCTCCAAGACTGTTATTTTTTTTTAAAGGTTTATGAATTTTTTTTTTAAGATTTCATTTATTTATTCTTGAGAGACACACAGAGAGAGAGAGGCAGAGATACAGACAGAGGGAGAAGCAGGCTCCCCACAAGGAGCCTGATGTGGGACTTGATCCAACATCCTGAGATCATGCCCTGGGCCAAAGGCAGATGCTCAACCGCTAAGTCACCCAGGGGTCCCTCCAACACTGTTATTAATGATTGCTTTAATGCAGGAGTTTTTAATTTGTTGTTAGCATAAATAGGGAAAGATATTATCTCTAAAAGTAGAGCAGAAAGATCTCTGTTTTTTCTTAAAAATGCAAACAGTGAATTATCCAGAATTTTGGATTTTCTTTTATTATTACAAAGATAGTTGGTATGGTGGATTGAAGCCTGAATAGTGCGAAGAATTTTCCCCAAAATTTACTCTCACCCCATTTGGAGCAGCCCATTGAGTGAACTGCATTCAGGAAGAAGACCTGACAAGAAGACTTTGTCATACCCTCATCAAAAGATTTTGAGAAAACACCCTTTTACCATGGCTCAAATTCTACCCTGGATAAGTAAGGCTCCTTTGTATCCCTGTATGTTCAAAAACAGCAAGATGTGCATTTGGCATATGGAACAAGTGTTTAAAGTAAAGATTATTAAATAGCAATTTTAAAAAGACAAACGACAATTAAAGTCAGTACATGTCTGCTTTTGCTAACTTCCTTTGTGTTATCTTCCTTAAGAGACACAGAAGGCGGCGAGATGTGTACAGTGCATTTATGGATCGTGTGGAAGAAAAGTTTACCCAAACATGCAAGAACAGGTGGGCAAATCCTTCAAGATTTGTTGTTATATTAATTTGTTAGAGTTGGTACTCAAATGACTTTTTTCAATAATGTGTACTTTATCCAAAGAAGCTCCATCATAAGAATTGTAAATGAAGTATTTGCATGATGCTTAAATCATTTTAAGTGGAGTCTGAGAGAATCCAGTCCTTTGATCAGATAAATTATTATTTCTCCAAGATTCAATGGAATTTTGGAAAACTACCAGTGACTTTGTCACAATTCCAGGTTTTGCCCAGATCCCCTCAGACTTCATCATTCTAGAACACATGCCAACCTGCCAAGAGTCAGCATCTGTATGTCCTTGCCCAGGGCTATCTGTGGCTGCTGGAGCTGCCCACAGCTAGTCAGAAGTGCTGGGGGTCACATCTCCCAGCAGCAGCCCTCAAGTAATAAGGGGGTGATTGTTAGGCACTGCTGCTCCCCAGAAATCCCCCAGGGGGCCAAAATCCAGTTGTCCAGTAGTGACTTGCAATTTGTTGACTTCCTTCCTGTCTCGTTTGGTCACATGCTTACCTTGTCACCATTTTACCTTCACTTGGGGACCCCCTATGTTTTCACTAGAATCCTTGCCAAGTACTGCTTGTGGGAAAGCCTAAACTATGACACCAGAAGGCAGTTAGTATAGTGACCTTAGAAGGCAGAAAGCCTGGCTTTGAATCTCAGGCTGGCCACGTGATCTTGGGCAGATTACTCAATCACACTCTTCCTCAGTTCTTCAGCTGTAAAATGGGAATAATAGGCACTGTCCTTAGATTCAGACAAGGTGGAGGCATCTGAGTCAATTAATAGCTTTTCTTACCTCTCTTTATGTGCTTGTCAATGGTCTGTGGGAAGGGGGAGCATATTAACATAGTGAATAGAGTTTGAGTTTTGGATTCAGTCAAAATGGCTTCAAATCTTAACCAAATCACCTATAAACATAATCTTGAATGATTTGCTAACAATTTCTGAATCAATCTTTCTTAGGTTTTAAGAGAGCTAAGTGAAAGGGTATTATATATAAGCTGCTGGTAAAATCTCTCATATCTTCTGGATTGACTTATCATTGATTATTATTGTTAATGATAATATAGAGATAGGGCTCTGTATAACCATAGAAAGTTACTTAATGACTATGGCTCAGTTTTCTCATCTGTAAAATGACAATAATAATAACATCCATTTCATTGAGTTGTTGAGAGAAGTCAAAACTTTGTAAAACATGTGGGACATAGCACTAACAGTGATTACTAGATTACTAGGTGTTTTAGAAATAAAAATTTAAAAACTCTACATCTTGAGGTGCCTGGGTGGCTCAGTGGTTGAGCGTCTGCCTTCAGCTGGGGTCGTGATCCTGGGATTGAGTCCTGCATCAGGCTCCCCAGAGGGAGCCTGCTTCTCCCTTTGCCTATGTCTCTGCGACTCTGTGTGTCTCTCATGAATGAATGAATGAATGAATGAATGAATCTTAAAAGAAAACAATACAAAAAAATCTCTACATCTTACATCTACAAAAAAAGTATCTAGGGACTAGTCAAGTCAAAAGTTGACTGAAAATAAAGAGAAGAAAAGAGGGCTGGGGGGTGGGAAGAGGAGAGAGAGAGAGAGGCTCTGCTTATGGACTTATGTAATGAGGGGAACCGGAGAGTCAATAGTCAGTAGACAGCTATCTGAGAGGAACAGACTATAGATGAATATGTAAAGAAGAGATCGGTGTCCAGTAAACTGGACAAAATGGAAAAAAAATTATTTTATGTTGCAAGTGCTTGGTATGAATGACATAGGTTGTAGACTTATTCTTACAAAGTTTACAAAGTGATTGTTTCAAATTGCAAAGACCCTGCTGTGCAGTGAAGTGGTGACCACCACAGTAATAGCAGGGGCTTCTCCTAGATAGATGATTTGTACTTGAGCTTAGTAATTAGGGGTTCCATCCTAATTGCTATCTTATAACCAAACAGGCTCCAGTCACAAAGAAAATGACAGGGCAGTCCATCACCAAGTTACTTAAATGGATTGCAGAAAATCACAGACTCTTGCTGACTGCAGCATTATGAATTAAGGGCCTCCAGCCTCCTCCAGAACCTCACCCTTCCGAGCTGCTCCCACTGGGAAGTATCTTCGCTTAACTTCAAGAGCAAATCTAAATTAATATCAGGCTTCTCAAAATAAAAATATTTTAATCTGAAATCATAGTTTCCTCTTATTTTGTTCCTTTAAAAAATATTTGATATACTTAGCAAATTGAACCTTGTGATAGTTCAAGCAAAATGGCTTTATTTTTCTCAAACATGATGTTCAAGTGTGCTGTGTTAGATCTTTCTCTCCTAAGTTTGAGAACATCTTTGGGAGATCCCACAGCTTTTCAATCACTTCATTTATACCAGCAATGTCATTTCTGTAATTTCAATTCACACTCACCCATGAAAAAGCTCAGCCTAGGATAAAAAGCATATATGATTCTTACCTCTACCATCCATAAAGAAATCAATTTTTGTGGATTGTAGATTCAAATGTGAGAGGAAAAAATACTTCTAAATAAATTCAGGAAAATAGATGATATCTTAAACAGGACCCAAAAAAGGGAGTATCCATATAGGAAAAAATTATAAACATTTTCTATGTATTAAAACTCTAAACTTCCATTCACCAAAAGACACAATTTGGGAGTGAAAAGCCAGCCACAGAACTCATGCAAATAAATATGAAATAGACAAGCAACTCAAGAAAAAATAATGGGGGTTTCACAGAAAGACTATCCAATGACCAAACTTACAAAAATGTGCTCATCTTCTGAGTTGTCAGGAAAATGCGTCAGAAACACAGTGGAATACCATTGTACACCTACCAGAGGAGCTCAAATGATAAAGAAAAGATGAAGCATTGGTAAAGATATGAAGCAACTAGACTCCTCTATACTTCTTGAGGAGAGTAGATTGAGATGAATACCTTGGAAAACTATTAGGCAGTATATTCTAAGGTTGGATGTGTATATAACATATGAAACAACATTTCATTCCTAGTATATTTACCTAAGACATATACACAGTATATACACATGCACTATTAGATATGTACAGGAGTATTCATAGCAAAATTATTGTTATAATCTTCAAACTATAAACAAGCCTAATGCCAGTAGGTAGTAAAATGGATATAGTGTGATCTATTTACCCAATGGATTACCATATGGCAAAGAAAATTGCAACTACATGGATGAGTCTCACATACTAATGAGAAAAAAAAAAGAGTACAGATACATTATATACAATACATATTACATAGTATACCTATTATATAGTGTATATATGATAGATATTTATTATATGGTATATATATATATATATATATATATATATATATATATTACAGATAGTTATTCCATTTGATAGAAGAAAACACTTGTCTGTGCAAGAAATCAAAGAGTTGGTGTCCTTTGGTTTGAAGGGAAGGAGTACAATGAGGAGTTTCCAGGTCCTGGAAATGTAGTAAGTCTTGACCAGGTGATAGTAAATAAATAAATAAATAAATAAATAAATAAATAAATAAGTAAATAAGTAAGTAAAAAGGCCTCATCTGTTCTGAATTAAAGCTTTAATCTAAGAACTTCTGCTCTCCTCAACAAAAGTTCGTCCTGCGGCTCCAGGGTTCACAGGAAGGAAAGAAACATTGTCTCCTTTTTTTCTCTCTCTACATCTTCTTCCCATGACCCTCCATTGCTTCTTTGTCTGCCTTTTACCTCCAAAGTGCTGGTGCCTAAAGGAGAAGCGGGAGAAGCAAAGAGGGGGAACAGGGACCAAAACATCAGGTAGAAAAGATCGCCGTAATCAGACAAGGCCTTTGCCTGTGTGGCAGATGGCGGAACAGTGACTTGCTTGTGAAGTCCATTTTGTTCATCCCTCTTTGTCCTGCCCAGGGATCTCATTCTGCACAGTCCTTTAGTGAGGACTAATGTCCAGTCTCCCTCCCTCAGCAGTCTGTCCTACTGCCTCTCACAGGTAGACCCAAGTCCCATGAAGACAGCCTTCTTGGTAGGACTACCCACGAGATAGCTGGAGCTGAGCTTTCTTATGAGTCCACTGTGTTCGTGGAACACTCCATACAGCCCACCAAATAGTGAGCATGTGGATGGTCCCATAGTTTCCTTTCTCCTCACCTTGACACTGTGACTACCATCTTTTAATCTCTAGACCCTTCTCTATGATCAAATGCACACCCTTTGAAATGTTGGAGATATAGATGAAACCACTCCACCAGGAACTGCCATACTACCTTCTGCTGAGGGACACCACCATGGTCTCTGCATTTTCTGCAGCTCAGCAAGAAGACATCCACACCTGCCAGCTTTCTCCTCTTGTAGGCAACCACCATCTGTATTCTCTATAATGATTATTCTGAGAATTTTTAAATTGGCTTTGCAGGGATCACCATCTTTCCTTTCTCATAGGAACCAGAATGGGTACTCTGCAGTGCTTCCCTCCAAGGGTAATGATGCCTAATTAAAGAAAAAAAAAAATGCCTTCAGAGTATTAATCATGTACCGAATTTGGGTGGAGTAGAGGGTGAGAGTAACAGGTCTGGCCCATCTACTTTTTAGAAAACCCTGTGGAATATGTCTTTTAGCATCTTCTCTCCTTGTGTTTTCAGCTTTGGGATTTTGCCTCATTTCAAGACAACAGGAAAGATCCCACTTCTACCTGCTGTTAACACTTGTATTCCTTGCCTTACTGAGCCTCTATCTTGCTCACCTAAGTGAGAAGCCTGGAGCACACTCTTCTCAAACTCCTCAAATGCCTTCAAGCCATTTCCTGGGAGTCTGTCTGTGAACATCCCTCCTCAGCCTTTCCTACCTACCTATTTTATATGAATACCCCTCATCCATCCGGGCAGTGGGGGGACACCACCCAGAGCATACCTCTAGCATAGCTTTTATTGCACACTTATAGATGATGTACTGCCTCTTTCCCCAGCTAAGTAATAATCAACCTCAGAGCCAGGCTCTTGCCTCATTTTATTTTATAGGTGAGTGCCTGGAGCATGGTACTTAAAAAAACTTTGCTTAATAAGTGAATAGAAGAAAATAGTTGAGGCGCATTTGTGAAGCATTGACATAGATCACTGGAAATTGTACATAAAATGGTCTATTGTAACATTCCTTAGTACCTTCCACCCTACTGCTGCTAAAGGAAGGGAGATCTTTAACTGTGTGAGACATGACATATTTAGGAGTCCTTGACTTTGGCATTGTTCAGTCATCTTTTACAAATCAAACTCCACAATGTACAATCACTTTCATAGCAATGCCTTCACTCAGTTACCTCCTGAAACCACGATGTTTACTTCAGTATCCTCTTCCTCCTCTCCCCCCTCCTCCTCATCATCCTCATCATCATGGTTCTAATTTTATGAACTAGGAAACTGAAGTCCTCATTAGGAACTTAATGTTCACAACATTTATTCACCATGAGGAACCAAAACACAATGAGCTTCAGATCACAATGCATATGCATACTTGCTGATAAATAGCCAAAAATAAATTTATATGGCTAACACAATATAGTTCTCATTTCCTATAATTGTTGTAATGTTCGGCTTTTCCTCTTATTATCATGCCATTATGAGCTTGGTTTTAAATGAATGGCCTTATAATAAAATAAGAGGAGGGAACAGATGAAATCTAGCATTTGCAGTCAAGTTTTTCTGGTCCTGAGAATGACATACCAGGTAAACTTCCCTCATTTATAGAACCTGATTTAGGAAATTCTGGTCTCACATTTCTCTTCTGATTGTTTAGATAGCTGATGGACTGAAACATCATAGGGCTTCCTGAAATTTCTCCTGAGTGAGGGAGATTCATCTTCTGTGCATTTCCTTAGGAGAGCATCTATGGATTTCGGTATCATTCTGGATTCTGCAGAAATAGGCACTTTCCTAAAGTCATAAGAAAGTTCTAAAACTATAAGGTTTTCAAACTAAAGTTGCCTAACTTGAAATTGCTTTGTTGCAACATAGATGAGAATGCTGTTATCACACTTGGGATTTGTGAAAGTTAGGTCTTGTACCTTTGAGTGGAAAGCTGATAAAAGTTGTACTTTCCATTAATGCTCAAAGTTAAAGAGATGCTCTAGTCTCAGGTTAAGCTAAGAAGATGCAGGTAAGTAAGAATAATGCTTACTAAATTTGACCACCAAGCTTCTCTAAGACAGGCACTGTGAATTTTGTTAGCATTCTTCATATTAATAAGAACTTTCTGTTAAATAGCATATATTCTTTTAAAGTATGAATATTATATCTTTTGGGGACCTATAGTTGGTTAAAGATAAAAAATTTTGACATAAAAAATAGAGAACAATGTAGCAAATAGAATTGAAGTATCTCACATAAATTGGGCACATTTCTAGTGGAATATTATTTTAAAAATGGAGATTAATTTGTGCACAGTGATGTTTTTCTAAAGTTAAGTTGTTCCTAGAAGTAGGTTTTATTTTAGAAATCTTGGGATGCAAATGATCTATAATAGTATTATTTCTTTAAAAAAACCACAAAAACTCAAAAGTTTGATGTATAAACTTTGTGTTCATATTTGCAAGGTGGCATGGGCTGAAACAATACAAATTTACCTTGCATATTATGTCATATTGAATCAAAATATGAACTTTTTAAAAGATTTTTAAAATTTTATTTATTAATGAGAGACACAGAGAGAGAGACAGACACACAGGCAGAGGGAGAAGCAGACTCCTCAAGGAGAGCCTGATGTAGGACTTGATCCTGGGACTTTAGGACCATGCCCTCAGCTGAAGGTCGATGCTCAACCCCTGAGCCACCCAGGTGTCCCAGAATCTGAATCTTTATTTTTCAGTTTTTTCCCAATATATCTTTGAAGTTTATTTGACATATTCAAACATACTAAAAGAGAAGATCTCCAACTGAGGCAAAACATGTCCTTCTTGAAGATCATCAAGAGAGATGATCAGATAATTTATAGTTCTGGTGGCACAGAAGGGAGAGTCTTTTAGCATATTAAAATCATTTTCTAAAATTTTGCTTAAAAATTTGGTGGGAAAGAAAAAAACCCTGAAATGTCTTTGTTTCTGACCAAGATTTGATAATTTTCATTTTAAATAAAAAATGAAAAGAAAAGAACTTCATGCCACTCACATTTTTATCAAATGAATTATCCTATCTCCTTTAATTTCACTATGGAAACTAATTGGAATGAAGTAAAATAAGGATTTAATAGCTTTGTTTACATAAGCAACATTAAGTGGAAAGATGAGGCAATGAGTTACATCATTTCCCCAAGGATGTTCTGCATAATTCAAGTTCCCTGGAATTGTAATAGATAGTCCATGAAAAGAAAATGTATTCTTTAGAAAAACAGATGTAGCAGATACTGGATTAAATACATCAGATAGGTAAATTTACTCAGGATTTGAGTAGCAAGGCAGGAATGCTCCAGGGCTCATTTCTTGGCCCCAATCTCTTTCCTATCTATATGAGCCCTTGGTGATCTCATCCACATTTCTTGGGGGTGGGGATGGGATAACTAAGTGATGGGCATTAAGGACGGTACTTGATGTAATGAGCACTGGGTGTTATATGCAGCTGATGAATCACTAAATTCTACTCTTGAAACTAATAATACACCATATATTAATTAACTTAAATTTAAATAAACTCTAAAAAATAAAATAAAATAAATGTCATCCACATGCCTAAGACTTCCTAATGTATATCCCTAGCCCTGGTATCTCTTCTCAACTCCAGACTACTAGACACCTTCCCATGACGTCTAATAGTCCTCCCAAACTTACCGTGCTCAAAACTGAGCCCTGTTATTCCGCCCTATACTCCCATAGTCTATAGTCTTGCCTATCTCATTAAGGAGCAATTCCATTCTCTCACCTGCTCAGGCAAGAAATAAAACTAAAACGGAGTCGTTCTGTCTCTATATTTCACACCACATATCAACAAATCTTATGCTTTCTACTTCACATTTTACTATAACCTCAACTACTCTGCACCATGTCTAGTGAATACATGGTCAAAATCTTCATTATCTCTTGACTGAATCATTGCCATAGCCTCCTGTCTGTAGGTCTCCTGGAGGCCCACCCTTCCCTTAAAACAGAATAGTTGAGTTGTTTGACTCGTAAAATGCAATTCCTAATATGTCATTTTTTCTGCTTAAAACACTCCAATGACTCTTACATCTTAAGCCAAAGTTCTTTCAATATCTCACATGGTCTTTTGCTCCCTCTTCCTGGTTATTTGACTGAGCTCATCCACTACTGTCTTCGCTTACTCTTCTTCAGCTATTAGGGTCCCCCTACTAACAGGAAAGCCCCAGATTTTGTTAGTGTTCACTGCTGTGCCCCAGTGCTAAGTGGAATAGCTGATATATATAGTAGATGCCCATTAAAACTTCATTGAATGGATGACTTCACTGCAATAATCTGAGAGCTACATAAGGCATAGATGACTGATTCCTACTCACAGGAGCCAATGAAGCTGAAGTTGTCCAACAGCAGTTGAAGAGTTCTAGAGTATGTATATATTCTATGTACCATTTCTCTTCTACCTTAAAATAGGTAGAAATGAACTGATTTCTAAATTAATATCTTTGTGGAATAGTATGCACTTACACTGCTTTGCCTCTGTCAGGAATGTTGAAATCTTAAGATTCTTATACATTGTACTTGAAATGGAAATACTATCCCTTGAGGTCAAAAATGAAGCTTTTAGGGAAAATGCATGCATTTCAATGATTGCTATGTCTTTTCATCATTGCCAGGCAAACTCAGGCTTAGCGTTAAGGCTTGCTGAGAACACTAATGATTAACTGCTCAAAGATGCATGAGGGAAGT